CAGAGAAGAATGTATATTCTGTTGATCTGGGTGGAGATTTCTGTAGATGTCTGTTAGGTCCACTTGATCCAGAGCTGAGAGTTCAAGTCCTGAATATCTTTGTTAATTTTCTGTCTTGTTGATCTGTCTAATGTTGACAGTGGGGTGTTAAAGTCTTCCACTATTATTGTGTGGGAGTCTAAGTCTCTTTGTAGGTCTCTAAGAACTTGTTTTATGAATCTGGGTGCTCCTGTATTGGGTGCATATATATTTAGAACAGTTAGCTCTTCTTGTTGAATTGTTCCCTTTACCATTATGTAATACCCTTGTCTTTTTTTATCTTTGTTGGTTTAAAGTCTGTTTTGTCAGAGACTAGGATTGCAACCCCTACCCTTTTTTTTTTTTTTCTTTGCTTTCCATTTGCTTGGTAAATTTTTCTCCATCCCTTTATTTTGAGCCTATGTGTGTCTTTGCACATGAGACAGGTCTCCTGAATACAGCACACCAATGGAACTTGACTCTTTATCCAATTTGCCAGTCTGTGTCTTTTAACTGGGGCATTTAGCCCATTTACATTTAAGGTTAGTATTGTAATGTGTCAATTTGATCCTGTCATCATGATGCTATTTGTTTATTTTGTGCACTGATTGATGCAGTTTCGTCATAGTGTCATTGGTCATTGGTCTTTATATTTTGGTGTGGTTTTGCAGTGGCTGGTACTGGTTTTTGTTTTTCATATTTACTGCTTCTTTCAGGAGCTCTTGCAAGGCAGTCCTGGTGGTAATGAAAGCCCTCAGTATTTGCTTGTCTGGAAAGGATTTTTCCTTTGCTTATGAAGATTAGTTTGGCCAGATACAAAATTCTGGGTTGAAAATTTTTTTCCTTAAGAATGTTGAATATTGGCCCCCAATCTTTTCTGACTTGTAGAGTTTCTGCTGAGAGGGCCACTGTTCGTCTGATGGGCTTCCCTTTGTAGATGACCTGGCCTTTCTCTCTGGCTGCCCTTAACATTTTTTCCTTCATTTTGACCTTAGAGAATCTGATGATTATGTGTCTTGGGGTTGATCTTCTCATGGAATATCTTAGTGATGTTCTCTGTATTTCCTGAATTTGCATATTGGCCTGTCTTGCGAGGTTGGGGAAGTTCTCCTGGATGATATCCTGAAGTGTGTTTTCCAACTTGTTTCCATTTTTCCTGTCTCCTTCAGGTACTCTGATTGATTGTACGCTCTGTCTTTTTATGAAGTCCCACATTTCTTGGAGGTTTTGTTCATTCCTTTTTATTCTTTTTTTCCCTTGTCGTGTCTGCATGCCTTATTTCAGCAAGGTGGTCTTCAAACTCTGATATCCTTTCTTCCGCTTGGTTGATTCAGCTATTGATACCTGTGTATGCTTCACGAGGTTCTCATACTGTGTTTTTTAGCTCCACCAGGTCATTTATGCTCCTCTCTAAACTGATTATTCTAGTTAGCAGCTACTCTAACCTTTTATCAAGGTTCTTAGCTTCTTTGCATTGGGTTAGAACATGCTCTTTTAGCTCAGCGTAGTTTTTTATTACCCATCTTCTGAAGCCTACTTCTGTCAATTTGTCTGTCTCATCCTCCAACTAGTTCTGTGCCATTGCTGGAGAGACATTGTGATCATTTGGAGGAGAGGAGGCAATCTGGCCTTTTGGGTTTTCAGTGTTTTTTCATTAATTCTTTCCCACCTTCATGAGTTTGTCTAGTTTTGATCTTTGAGGCTGCTGATCCTTGGAGGAGGTTTTCCTGGGGGCTTTTTAGTTGTTGTTGATACTGTTGTTGTTGCTTTCTATTTGTTTTTCTTTCATTGGTCAGGTCCCTTTTCTATAGGGCTGCTGCTGTTTGCTGGGATTTCACTTCAGACCCTAGTCATCTGGTTGACTCCGGGGCCTGGAGATGTCACTCAAGGAGGCTGGAGAATAGCAAAGAAGCGTGCCTGCTCCTTTTTCTGGGATCTCTGACCTCTAGGGGCACCAGCCTGATGCCAGCAGTATTGCTTTTGTATAGGGTATCTGACAACCCCCGTTGGAGGGTTTCACCCAGTTGGGTGGCAGGGGGAACAGGACCCATTTAACGAAGCACTTTGTTCCTTGGTTGGGGGGGTATGCTTCGCTGGGGGGAAACCCATTTGTCTGGGCTGCCCAGATTCCTCAGAACTACAAGGAGGAAAGTCTAAGTCTGCTGGTCTACAAAGACTGCGGCCACCCCTTCCCCTAGGGGCTCAGGCCCAGGGAGATCCGGGTTCCTGAGCGTCTGGCTGGAGTTACTGCAGTTCCTGCAGGGAAGCCCCACCCAGTGAGGAAGGATCGGTCAGGGCCAGGCCTGAAGAGGCACTTTGGCCACATTCTGCCATAGTCGGTATGTTGGGCTGTGGGGAACATGTCTCGGGACCAAGCTGTTCAGCCTCCCTGACTCCAGCAGAGGAAAAATGCAGCCTGGAGCTATAGAGATGGATGATGCCCTTCCCCCACCCAGGGAGCTTAGCGTGTGAGGCAGTTGCGAGTCCCAGTGCTGGCCGCTGCCCCTCCCCCAAGGAACTCAAACAGCTTAGACAGCAGGCAGCCACAGCTGTGGTGCTGGTCATGCCTCCCCTGGGGCATTCTGTAGGCTTAAGCAGATTCCAGCTAAGAGGCGGTTGAGAATCTTCACGGCTCTGGGGTTGGGACACTAGGCCCTGGTGGCATGGGTTCGTGAGTGGGATCTTCCAATCTATGGGTTCCACAGTTCTGTGGAAAAAGCACGATTTCCCTGGCTGGGTAGTACACTCACTCACCACTTCCCTTGGCTGGGGATGTAGGGGGGCGCTCTCCTGCCCTGTGTGGCTCTCAGGTGGGCTGCTGCACTACACTGTTCTTCCTTCTTCTCTGTGGATCACACCAGCCTCCTAGTCAGTTCTGATGAGAGAACCTGGATACCTTGCTTATTATGGTTCTTTTCAATGGGAGCCTCCGAATGCCGCTGTTTCTAGTTGGCCATCTTGGCCCCACCCTGGAGAATATTTTTGATTCACGAGTTACTCAGAAGTATGTTATTTAGTTTTCAAATGTTTAGGTTTTTTTTTTTTCCTATTACTCTTTGGCTATTGATTTCTAGTTGGATTCCATTGTGGTCAGATAATACACTTTGTATGATTAAATTATTTTAAATATGTTGAGGTTTATTTCATAGCTAGGATATGTTCTATCTTGTTATATGATCCACGTACACTTGAAAATAATGTGTATTGTGCTGTTGTTGGGTGAAGTGCTCCTTAAATGCCAGTTAGATATTTATATTCTTGGTGAATTATTTTATATCCTTGCTTATTTTCTATCTAATTATTGAAACAATTGTGAATTTGTCTATTTCTCCTTTCTGTTTTATCAGTTTTTGCTTCACATATTTTGCAGTTTTTTGTTGTTTTGTTTTGTTTTTTGAGATGGAGTTTGGCCTTGTTGCCCAGGCTGGAGTGCAATGACACGATCTTGGCTCACCACAACCTCCACCTCCCGGGTTCAAGTGATTCTCCTGCCTCAGCCTCCCAAGTAGCTGGGATTACAGGCATGAGCCACCACACCTGGCTAATTTTTGTGTTTTTAGTAGAGATGGGGTTTCTCCATATTGATCAGGCTGTTCTCAAACTCGCGACCTCAAGTAATCCACCCACCTCAGCCTTCCAAAGTGCTGGGATTCCAGGCGTGAGCCACCGCACCCAGCCAGTTCTGTGATTTTACACACACATCTAAGATTGCTGTGTTTCTAGTGGATTGACCTTTTAAACATTATATATAATGCTCCTCTTTGATAATTTTCTTTCCTCTAAAATCTACTTTATCTAATATTAACATAGCCATTCCTGCTTTCATCTATTAATGTTTGCATGATGTATCTTCTTCCATTCTATTACTTTCAGCCTGCCTCCATTGTCATATTTGAAATGAGTTTATTGTGACTGCATATTGTTGGGTAATGTTTTAAATTCATTTTATTAATCTGTCCTTAACTGTTGTATTTAGATCATTTACATTCAGTGTAATTGTTGATGTCTTAGGACTTAAATCTGCCATTAAAAAAAATGGTTATTCTTTGTTTTTTGTTTGTTTTCTCTTTCCTGCCTTCCTGTGGGTAATGTGAACATTTTTCAACAATTCCATTTTGATTTATTTAGTGTTTTTTAGTATATCTCTTTGAACAGCTTTTTCAGTGGTTGCTGTATTATACTACATATGCATAACTTATCACAGTCTATTGGCTGTGTTAACTTAGTAATCTGAGTGAAGTACAAAGCTTACCTCCCTTTATGTCCTTTTACCTTCTCACATTTATAATGGTCTTAAATATGTTTTTTACATGCATTTGGAACCACATCAATATTATAATTTTTGCTTCAACCATCAAATATGATTTAGAAAAATTTATATTTACCTGTATTTTATATCTACCTGTATTTTTGTTTACCATATTCTTTCTTTCCTGATATTCCTTCTTTTATCATTTTCTATCTGTTTAGCTAAATTCCGTTAGTCATTCTTTTAGAGTAAGTCTTCTGGTGAAAAATTCTCTTAGTTTTCTTTTATCTGAACATTTCTTGACTTCTCCCTTATTTTCACTGGGTATAGGATTCTAGGTTGACAATTTCTTCCAATAATTAAAAATATTGTGCTACATCTGGCCTTTGTGGGTTTTGATGGGAAATCCACTATCATTCTAATTGTTTTTCCTCTGTAGGAAAAACAATTTTTTTTTCATTTTCAGAAGTTAAATTTGGGGGGATGGGCATGGTGGCTCATGCCTGTAATCCCAGCACTTTGGGAGGCTGAGGCAGTCAGATCACTTGAGGTCAGGAGTTCAAGACCAACCTGGCCAACATGGCGAAACCTCATCTCTACTAAAATACAAAAATTAGCCAGGTATGGTGGTGGGCACTTGTAATCCCAGCTACTCGGAAGGCTGAGGCACTAGAATCACTTGAACCCGGGAGGCAGAGGCTTCAGTAAGCTGAGATTGTTTCACTGTACTGCAGCCTGGGTAACAGAGCAAGACTTTGTCTCAAAAAAAAAAAAGTTAAATTTTGGGCTATCTTGGCATGAATTTCTTTGGGTGTATCCTATTAGTGGTCTGCTCAGCTTTTTGATCTGTAGGTTTATGTCTCCTGTCAAATTTGGCAACCTTTCAGACATTATTTCTTTGATTTCCTTTTCAGCCCTGTATTCATTCTCCTGTCCTTCTGAAACTATGACATGTGAATATTAGATCTTGTCTTACAGTCTTACAGGTCCCTGAGGCTCTATTCATTTTATTTTAAGCCTATTTTTTCTCTTAGGTTTGTTTGGGTAATTTCTATTTTTCTCTTTCTCAATTCACTGACTCTTTCCTCTATTTGCACAATTATACTGTTGTGCTCAGCCACTAAGCTTTTAAAATTTCAGTTGTATTTTTCAATTCAAAAATTTCTATTTGGTTCTTCTTAATATTTTTTTCTCTCTCTCTGCTGAGGCTTTCTATTTTTTTTTTATTTCTTCTAAGTGTGTTTATAAGTGTTTTTTGAAGCATTTTAATTATGATTGCTTTAAAAATCTTTGTCAAAAAATTCTAACATCACTAACATCTCAGTGTTTGTGTCTACTAATTGTCTTTTTTCAGTTTTACATCTTCCTGGTTATTAGTACAACAATTTGCTTCTGATTAAAACATGGACACTTTCGTATTATGTTACGAGACTCTGGATCTTATGTAAACCCTCTGTTTTAGCTGGCTTTTTGTTACTTTGCTCCAGCACAGGGAGTGGGGAGATAAGACCTCATTACTGCAAGATGGAAGTGGAAGTCCAGGTTCCCCATCTGGACTCCATTGACACCAGAGATGGGAGGCTTCTAATCATTATTGGACAGATGTGGAGGTTCATCTCCATATGTAGCCTCCATTGAGACTGTGGTGGGGTCTAGATGACAATCAGGACATGGCTTGATTTTTAGTCATTACTTTCATAAGAGATTCCTTATATATTAATACTTTGAATCTAGAAATGCACTCAATGAGGATGGGCCTGAGCATGAAGGTACAGACAAATAGTGAGGTATTAACTAACACCTCTTTGGTTACAAGTAACAGAAACCAATTCAAGCTAGCTTAATTTGCAAAAGCATAAGGTAGGGTAGGGGAAGAATTATAAGAAAGTACGAAGTTACTCATGGAAACAAAGGGAGAGGGAATTCAGTCAGGCTTCAGGAAAGGACTAGAACTAGAAAATGGAAAACTTCCAAGGCTTTTTATTCATCTGCAGTCTCTGCTTTTCTCTCTCCACAGGAAAGTTTTTACTTCCCTTAGCTCAAATTTGCATCCTACAGCAGTTTCTTGTACAAGACTGATCCACTATCTCTCATTCCAATTCCAAAGCATAGGGAAAGATAATCTGAGTGGCAACCATGCCAGTGGGTAGAGGTCACATAATTACAAACGCAACTTTTGGAAGTGCTACCCTTATGTAGACATCCCCAAAAGTATCTGATATAGGTGTATATGGAAATATTAACAAGTAGGAAAGCAGCAAGCAAGGCCTTTCTTAACAGATGATCTCACTACAAACTCAAACATTGTCAGGTTGATTTTTATTGTTGTTGTTATTCTTACAACTTAGTTCTTTATGGCTGCCTTTTCTGTTTTATATATCGTTTGTTTGACTGTCTCAACACTCTTACATACTATTACTTATAGTAAGTGATTGCAGGGTAAAATGAGAATAAGCAAAGAATGAGAAGATCACACTTTGCTAAACCATCTTAGACACTGGTCTAAGTTAGGATTAAGGAGAAACTAGTTAATGTGCTGTACGAGTTTGCTGAATTATCATGTTGAACATGATACAACATTTGAATGTAATCATAGGGCTGAAACTTCATTGTCTGTTCTGTTCTTAAGCCAAAATGAATAGGGTCTAGGTGGATTAATAGGTGGATTGCACGTTAACAAGATGATTTACATACCTTAAATTTCTCTCTGGTCAAACATGGGTCAGATTTCAAATATGAAGGAATAAATCTCATGCTTGGCATTCCATTTGGTAATGATGAAAATTCTTGAGAAAGATTATGCAAATCAAAATATAATTGGAGAGATTTTTCACTTCCAGGAGGATGAAGTAGATGCATTTTCCCTATTCTTTGCACTAAAAATAACTACAAACCCATATAAAATGAACAAAAGGCAACTCCAAAAGGTAGAAAGCAGGCAGGCTAGCTAGGGACTTCAAGAACCAAGGAACAACACAATGGTGTCTCCTGGGTTTTCTTTTTGCCTCATATATCCAAGACTTGGAGCTGAAGAAGCTAGCAACCTGAGAACACAAAAGTGCCCAGAAACATGCACAAAAAGCTCTCAACAATAGCCTGTATTATGTAGAAAAGGACCAGGAAAGGGACAGCCTACTGATACAGAAAATGTTTGGCAATAACCACTGTACTCCAGCCAAGTGCCACTGATAAACAGTGCCCTCACTCCCACCCATGTAAGCAGAGGCAGAGGGGCTTACGCTTCCACTCTTATGAGGTCTAATGAGGGATCTCAAACTTCTGCAAGGGTGGTGTCAAAGAAGGACAAGTAGAAGCCAGAACTTTGACTCTCCCATTGGCCTATAAAGAGTCTCTCTCCTCCCGCAGGGTGTCATTGGAAACCAAATGGGGAGCCGAGATTTCCACACTCAATGGACAGAAATGAAGTACCTCTTTCTCTCCCCATTGGGCTGGTGTCAGAGGATGCCTAGTGAAGAGTCAGGGTTTTCACTAATGCACAGTAGCAATGGTTCATAGCCTTCACCCATTTTCTTATGAAAGTATTTGTAAGTTTCCAGTTGATATGTAAGCACTCTTTGTATATTAAGTATATTGGTCATGTTTTTCACTTTATAAAGAGAAATGGCAACGCATAATGATGAAGTTCAGGAGGACTCTGGAATCAGAAGGTCTAGGTGGATTTGACTCCAGATTCCACTATGTATTGGCTTGTGAGGCTTTGGACAAATTATTTAACCTCTTAGGACCTCAATTTTCTGATGTGTAAAATGTAAAGTGTATACATGTATAACTTAGAACAGTGTGTAGCACATAGGAAGTACATTACAAAAATCTGTTGATAATATTACTATTGTATTTATTATTTTCAGCTTGTTACTGTCTTTACCTTTATTTACACATGTTTTCTTTTGGCCTTAGAGGTGGTTCTATTTTTTATCTTTAGAAGAAAACTGGGCTCACTCTTTCTGCTTTCATCTGAGTATCAATAAACTGAAGTGGCTCAGGTTAATTATTTTTAATTCTGGTTACCCCATAGGATTAGAAAGTTACCCCATAGGATTTAGAACAGCTGACAATATTCAAGTCAGGCTATAATCATACTTTATTTATGCATACTTTATTAATAGATCTAAATTAATGAGTAGTTTCATGCAAATAATCAATTAAATAAGGCCTGATAACTTATTCCTTCACTTATCCAGTGTTTTCTGACAGCTTTGGGTCTTTGTTCTTTGCCAAATGTGATGCAGCTGACATCATTTTCAAGAGCAGATTTTTTTCTTAGGATAATAAATTAATAAGCCCTGCTTCCTTTAAAAAGATTATTAAATAGCTAAGAGTGATAAAAACTGTATTGACTTACTGATGTTGGATTTGGAAGTTGGTTCTTGGATTGAATAGCTGTTTTATCTGAGTGGTTTGCATGTTTTTAGGGTTATGCATGATGGGGAGCAAATACTGCAATATTTCTTGAGTTTGAACTATTCCTTTATCCTTGTAGCTCCTTTTTTCATCATCTGTCCAATTTATGCCAGTCTTCTTGCTTTGGAAAGATATGCATTCTTTTATTTTGCTTTTTAAGTTGTGGTGCAGATCTGGGGAGCAACCACAAAAATATGTACAGGGATATAAACTCTACTCACAATTACTTATTGGGCATTATTATATGCCAGGGATTTTATCTAAAATTCCTTGCCCATCTGAAGCTTGTACTTTAATGACAGTGGGCAGAAAATAAACAAGTAAAATATATATTATGTTAGATAATGATAAAGTTTACAGGATAAAGTAAAGCTGCGGAGGGGAGTAGAGAATTCTTGAGGGGTTGATTTCCACTTTTAAAAAGGTGTTAAGAGAAAGCCTCCTTATGAAGCTGACATCTCATGGAATTTAGGAAGCAAATCAAGCAGGTTTCAGAGGAAAGATAATTTGAGGCAAAGGCCCTGAAGTAGGAGAATAGTAGTGTGTTCAAGAACACCAAGAATGCAGTCAGTGGCTGGAGGAGAATGAACAAAAGGGAAAGTTATAAGGGATAAGTTCAGGTAGGTAACATGGACTCAGCTCATGTAGGGCCTCACAGGCCAGTAGAAGGACTTTGATTTTTACTGAGTGTGAGATGGAGAAGCATTGGAAGGCATTGAGCAGAGCAGTGTCAGTCTGAGAGTTGTTTGGACAAGATTATGCTGGTTGCCAAGTTGAGAACAGATTGAAGAGAGGCAAGAGTGAACAAACAGGGAGATCTCTTGGAAGGCTGCAGAAACAATCCAGGAGAGATGGTGGTAGCTTGGACCAGGGTCGTGGAAATGGCTAGAAGGGTGAGAAGTGGGGTGGGAGTATTCTGGGTACATATGTGGATTTTATAAAGAATTGGATATGAGATAAGAGAATAAGAGCAGAATCAGTGGTGGCTCCAAAGCTTCTAGTTTGAGGAAATGGCAGTATAGGGATATGGGGACTGGGAAGAGCATGTTAGAAATCCCTTTTTTATTAGATGATACAAAGGAATTATTGTTTTGTTAATGGAGACACTGGAATATAATAACATATTTAAAAATGTTTATCCTACCCCATATTAGTTAGGATGGCTGCTATAAACAAACAAACAAACAAACAAAAACCTCCAGAAAATAACAAGTGTTGGCAAGGATTTAGAAAAATTGGAACCTTCACACATTATTAATAAGAATGTAAAATGGTACAACCATTGTGGAAAACAATACGATGGTTCCTCAATAATTAAAAATAGGATTACTATATGACCCAGTAATTCCACTTCTGGCTATATCCCCAAAAGAATTGAAAGCAGGGTCCCAAAGAGACATAGATACATTCATCTTTATAGTAGCAATATTCATAATAGCCAAACGTTGTAAGCAACACATGTGTTCATTCATGAATGGATTAATAAAATGAGGTATATTCATACAATGGAATGTTATTTAGTGTTAAAAAGGAAGGAAATACTGACAAATGCTACAGTATTGGTAAACCTTGAGACTACTATACAAAATAAAATAAGCCAGACACAAAAAGACAAATATCATATCTGTCATTCAAATATTTGACTCCACTACCTAATTTGACTAGAATATTCCATTGACTAGAATTCTATTTGACTAGAACAGTCAAATTCATAGATACAAAAGTAGAAGGATGGTTTCCAGGTGCTGGGGCGGGGGAGGGGGAAGTGAGGAAGACTAGGCATAAAGTTTCAATTTTAAAAGAGAAAAAGGAGTTCTGGAGATTGCATCACAATGTGACTGTACTTAACACTACTGAATTGTACACTTAAAAATAGTTAAAATGGTAAATTTTGTTATGTGTATTTTATCACAATTTAGAGTCAACATACTTGGGAGGCGAGGGTAACCCTGAGTAAAGCCTGAAGGAAGATCAGTAGCCAGACATTTAAAAAAATGTCATAATTTATAATGGCCATGCTTAAATTGGTCCATAGACAGCATAAGAGAAAGTAGAATACATTCAGAATAAAAGCAAGAAATATACTGTGCTTTGTTAGTGTTTATCTAGTGATATACACTAAACTGTTTATAGGCAAAATAATATAATTTATAGAATTTATTTTAAAATGCTCTAGGGAAAAAGTGGTGGGAAAACAGATGAAACAAGAGTAGCAGGATGCTGATGAGGATGGGTGATGGGCATCAGTGGACTCATTATTCTATTCTTTCTACTTTATGTTTGAACATTTCTACAATAAGTTTTTGGTAAAAAATTATTCTTAAAAGGAAAATAAAAAGATAAAGCATGCATTGCATTAAGCTAGATCTGAAAGATAATGTATGATTACAATATCTGGCAATACTGGCATATGAAATGAACTTATTTACAGTTTCTTGATAAGCCATTCTTAGGCCACTCAATAAACATTCACTGAACGTAGCCCAGGTGTTGTAGCTTATGCTTGTAATCTCAGCACTTTAGGAGGCTGAGGCAGATGGATCACTTGAGGTCAGGAGTTTGAGACTAGCCTGACCAACAGGGTGAAACCCTGTCTCTACTAAAAATACCAAAATTAAGTGGGCATGGTGGTGAGTGCTATAATTCCAGCTACTCAGGAGGCTGAGGCAGACAAATTGCTTGAACCCAGGAGGCGGAAGTTGCAGTGAGCCAAGATCGCATCACTGCACTCCAGCCTGTGTGACAGAGCAATACTCCATCTCAATAAATAAATAAATAAATAAATAAATAAATAAACAAACAAACAAACAAACAGACATTCACTGAATGCTTATTGTATATCTGGCACTATTTTTGTTTGGTAAATAGATGTGAAAAACACAGTTCCTGCCTTCAATATGTTAAGAATCAGGACTAGAGAGCAAAAAGTGAACTATCTATTAGAATATACTTCATAAAGATAAACCAGGACACTTACTACATACATATACTTATAGCCATACTTATAGATGGGGGCAAAGGGTATTGGGTAAATGAATGAACACAAGTCAGCCAAGTAAAAAAGAAGGAGAGTGATCTAGGATGTGGGACTAACATGGCACATTCAGGAAATCATAAGTGTGGTATAGAATAATTGGGATATCAGGTAGGTATGAAGACATGGTTCAAAACTGGAAGCCTTGTTTGCAGTAACACTTTTGAGAGATCCTCTAAGATGGGAATAATTCATGACTGATAACGCTAAATAACTGTGTTTTGAATGATACAGTTAGGGGGCCATTGAAGACTTTACGCAAGATAATCAGATTTGCAGTTTTGAAAGATCACACTGGGACCCAGGAAAACAAAAGGTGGAAGAAAAGTGAAACACAAGGCAGGGAGACAAATTAGGAGGCTAATGCAGTTCTTCAAGGGAGGCAAAATGAGGGTCTGAATTAGCGATAGCATTAGGATGAAGAGAGCAGATTCAAGAGAATTTTTAGAGGTAGAACAGATAGAGCTTCATGTTATTAGAGACCAAAAAACAGAAGTGCACAACATTAGGATAAGTCTTGGGTTTATTACTTAGATAACTGGATGATGGCAGTACACTGACTGAGACATGGGATGCAGGAGAAAGAGATTGGCAGTGGACAAGTTGAAGATAAGTGCCTGTGGGGAAAAACAGATGGAGATATCCAGTAGGCAGAGGAATATGAAATTTAGGAGAGGCTTAGACTGAAGATTAAAAAATATCATGGTCATCAGTTGCTGGTTGAAGCTGCAGGTAGAGATGAGAGTGCTCAGAAATAAAGTATGTGGTGACAAAGACCAAAGGATGGACTACTGGAAAATAGCCTACTTAAAATTTAGGCAGAAGTGATGTCCTACATGGGCTCCTCTTCATATATTTCAACACATGTTTCATGAATGGCTAGAGAAACAGGAGTAAAACCAGGAGACAGTAGTGTCACAGATATGACACTCAGATTGTGAAATAGCTCAATGAATCAAGGGAAAGAGTTTAAAGGTCCTGGGAATAATCAACAGTAGAGAAGTCAGTATGGCTTTGTAAATAACCATTTCATGGTATGGCAACAGTAGAAACATTCTCAAGCACTAGGTTGAGAAGTATACAAGTGAGGAAGTGAAGGTAATGAATGTTGGCTATATTTGAGGAAGGTGAGAAAGAGGGCAATAATTAGAGTTATTTCACTAAGGAAATTGATGGACATGGGATCTAGAGCACTGCTGAATGAATTAACCTTAAACAGAGGGATATTTATTTCTGTGAAACAAGAAGGAAGGATGTTTGAAATGAGTTGATTTATTGATGACCTCTCTGGTTTTTGTTTCTGTTTTATATGTGAAGTAAGAAGTGAGGTTATCTACTGAAGGTAAAGTTTTATATGTGAAGTAAGAAGTTAGGTAGAGAGAGAGAGGAAAAGATTTAGAATAGTTACTCTGGAGAATGGAAGAGGTAGTTGATCAAGTATATGTATATGTAAATTGTGCAAACAAGAATGTATAGTGCCATTTGGTAATGTAGTTTTTCTGCAGCAGGGCTCTGTAATCTAAGATGGGGTAGAGATGGATAGTTAGATTCATCTAGAATTACAGTTGTTCAGCATTGGCTTAGTCAAAGGATAAGAAGGCAAAACGAGATCTGATTAAACTTAAGAGCTTCTGCACAGCAAAAGAAACTATCAACAGAGTAAACAGGCAACCTACAGAGTGGGGAGAAAATATAGGAATCTGACAAAGGTCTAAATATCCAGCATCTATAAGGAACTTAAAGCAATTTACAAGAAAAAAACCAAACAACCCCATTAAAAAGTGGGCAAAGGACATGAACACTTTTCAAAAGAAGACATACATGTGGCCAACAAGCATATGAAATACAGCTCAATATCACTGATCATTAAAGAAATGTAAATCAAAACCACAATGAGATACATCTCACAGCAGTCAGAATGACTATTATTAAAAGGTCAAAAAATAACAGATGCTGGCAAGGTTACAGAAAAAAGGGAATCTTATACACTGTTGGTGGGAGTGTAGATTAGTTCAACCATTATAGAAAGCAGTATGACAATTCCATAAGGAGCTAAAAACAGAATTACCACTCAGCCTGGTAATTCTATTACTGGGTGTATACCTAAAGCAATATAATTCATTTTATCATAAAAATACA